TGCATGTCCCATTCTATTTCCTCTTTACCTTGTTTTCCTCTTTTTCATCCTACCAGGTTATTAGGGGATCTTTCCCAGTTATTAGGTGTCTGAGGTCCTCTAATAATGTTCAGTAGGTACTCTGTGCAAATTATTTCACTTGTAGATGTATTCTTGATGTATTTGCGGAGAGAGGTGAACTCCAGATCCTCCTATTTTGCCATCTTAACCCAAAATCCTCTGTAACTTTGTAGAAAGTTTCAAGATCAAGAAACATAGAATTCCAACTTTATTCTTTTTCTACATTGTTCTCTTCATTTTGTGTGCTAAGTCGTTTCAGTCGTGTCCAACTCTTTGTGGCCCTATGGTCTGTATGTAGCCCGTTGAGCTCCTCTGTCCATGGGATTCTCCAGGCAAGAATATTGAAGTGAGTCGCCTTCTCCAGGGGATCTTCCTGACTCAGGGACTAAATCTAGGTCTCCAACATTGCTGGCAGATTCTTTATCATGCGAACCACCAGGAAAGCCCTGAGCCCATTCTAATTTCATAAGAATTTTAGGATATTTTTCATTTCTGTGAAAAAAGATGTTGGAATTGTGTAGAGTTTGTGTTGAATCTGTAGACTGTTTTAGGTAGTATTATCTTAACATTGTTAAGTCTTCTAATCTATGAAGATAGATATTTTCACATTTATTTAGGTTTTGTTTAATTTTTCCCAGCAAAGTTTTACAGTTCTCAGCACAAGTTTTCATATACTTGGTTGGAATTTTTCATAAGTATTTAATTATTTCAGATGCTATTACAAATGAAATTGCTTTCTTTAATTCATTTTCAAATTTTTTATCGCTGGTGTATAGAAACAAAGTTGATTTTTATGTGTTAATCCTGTAATCTGAAAGTTTGCTAGTTTTTTCATTAGCTATAGTAACTGTCTTGATGGTTGTTTGGGCTTTTCCCTATATAAATCATCCTATCTGTGAAAAGAGACAGTTTTAGTTCTTTCCAACTTTAATGTTTTAAAATTTTTATTTCTCATCCAATTTCTCTGTCTACAATTGCAATTCAGTGTTGAATAGCCAGGGTGAAAGGAGCATTCTTGTCTTATTTATGGTTTTAGAAGGAAAACTTTCAGTCTTTCACCATTGAGTATACCTGTAGTTTTTACATAAATACCCTTTATCATTCTGAAAAAATCCTAATTATCTGGGTGTATTACCATAAAAGCACACTGAATTTTGTCAAATGTCTTTTATGAATCAGTTGGGATGATCATGTGGGATTTTTTCACCATTATTTTGACAATGAATGATTTGATTTTGTCTTGTTGAAATTTCCTTGCATTTCTGGTGTAATTCCACTTGGTCATGGTGTAATCATTTAAATTGCTATTGGTTTTGTTTGCCACTGTTTTTCCAGAGACTTGTGCACATATATTCACAAAAGGTATTTGTTTCTAATTATCTTTTCTTGTGATATCTTTATCTACCTTTGCTATAGGGAAATGGTTTCCTCAAAATGAATTAGGACTTGTTCTCTCGTATTCTATTTTTAAAGAGTTTTAGGAAAATTTATGTTACTTATAAAGTTTTATAGAACTTACTGGTTAAACCATCTGATCCTGGGCTTCTCTTTGTTGTGAGATTTTTCATTCTTCTTTTAATCTCTTTATTTGTTAGAGGTTTACTGAGATTTTCTAATTCTTCTTCAGTCAGTATAAGTTATTTTTGTGCTCCTATGAATTTGTCCAGTCAGTTTAGATTATTTTTGTGCTCTTATGAGTTTGTCCATTTCATTTCAGTTATCTAATTTTTGATGTGCAATCATTCAGTCTTGTACAACTTTTTATTTCTGGAAAATCAGACAAATTCCTCACATTCATTTCTGATTGTAGTTATTTCCTTCTTTATTTTTCCTTAGACAATCTAGCTGAAGTTCTTAAATTTTGTTGCTCTTTTCAAAGAATTTCCTTTTAGTTTCACTTTTCTTTTACCTCTAATCTTTATTATTTTCTTCCTTTTGCTGCCTTTGGCTTTAGTTTTCTCTTATTTTACTCATTTCTCAAGGTGCAAAGTTACAAAAGAAAAAATAGAATAATCTTTATTTCATGTTTCTTTACCTAGTTACCTTTACTGAAGATCTTTATTTCTTCATACAACTTCAAATTATATTATAGCATAATTTTATTTCATCCAGAATGACTCCTTTTAAAATTTCTTGTAATACAAGTTGAGTGGTAGTGTACCTACCTGTCTTTTTTTTTAAATCTGGGAGGCTCTAATTTTGTCTACATTTTTAAAGAACAGATTTGCTGGATATAGAATTCTTGATAGATAAGGTTTCTGTTTTTGTTGTTGTTTTTTTAAATTCCACAGTTTTCTGTTTTCCACGGTTTTTAATGGGAAATTCACTATTGATTTTATCAAGAACTCTTTGAACTTGGTGAGTTAATTCTTTCATGATGTTTTCAAGGTCCTCCTTTTTGTCTTTCTAGACTTATTGCAATGTGTCTTCATGAGGATCTCTAAATTCATTCTAGATGGAGTCTGCTGAATTTCTTGTGTTTGTAGGTTCATATCTTATCAAATTTGGGATGTTTTTGACTATTATTTCTTGAAATATTGTTTTTGCCTCCTTTTCTCTTTTTTCTCCTCTGGGACTATATATATGTATATGGTCTCCCTGATGGAGTCCCAGCGATCCCTTAGACGTCATTCACTTTTCTTCCCTATTTTTTCTCTTTTCCTTAGACTCAATTGTCCTGTCTCCAAGTTCACAGAATTGGCCTGATTAAATCTGTTTTGAAACCTTCCAGTGAATCTTTTTTTCATTTCATTTATTATGATTTTAATTTGTTTGGTTCATCATAATTTCTTCTTATTTTGCTCTAAGACTACCTCTTAATCTCCTCTCATTTTAAGCAAATGTATAATAAGACTTTGAGTATCAGAATACTGAACTTATAATGACTGAATATTATTTTACATTTTGGCACTGTTTAAATTGTGTATAACTCTCCTCAGAGAATATTAATAAGCAGGTCATTGTCTCCGAGAAAACAAATGACCCTATAAAGTTATAGTGCTATTTTACAATGAAACTGAATAGAAATCATGCTAAACCAACTATCTTAGAAATATTTCTTAGAGTACACCTTATTACTATAGGAAGTCAGGTTAGTATCTATTTTATAATCATTTTGTATCACATGTCATATGTAGGCATACTGAGTAAGAGCTCTTAGATATTTCACGAGGGTATTCTAATAAAAATCTAATATTTTAGGGGCTTTTAGAACTGCCTTGAATGGGACATGAACATTTTCTGTACTTCATACCAGTAGTGATTAAGCAGAGTAGTTGTCCTAGAGTATAATTACATTTAAAAGACTGAACTATGAACTGAGATCAGTTTTAGTACAAAATAAATTTTTTAAAAAATGATCACAAAAAATCCTAGAAAGTCATCAAACATTTGGTTAAAGTAGAAATTACAAGAAAAATTATAAAATATTCCTAACTCAATGATACTGAAGATACAACATATCTAAATGTGTGGGATACAACTAAATTAGTACTTAGAAGAAACTTTATAGCTTTAAGTGCTCATGTATTCCAAAGGAGAGAGGTTTAAAATCATGTAATAATTGATCTTACAGAGGTAGAATAAGCATAGCCAATTTAATCCAAGGTAAAAGAAAAAAAGGAAAATAAATATAAGAACAGAAATTCATAAAGCAGGACATAAAAACACACAACATTAATAAAACCAAAAGACAACACTTTGAAAAGACAAAAAAAGTGGCAAATATTGATTGGACAGAAAGGGTGGGAGAGTGTGAGTGAATACAGAATACCAGGAATGAATGAGCAGTTATCAATACTTACAAATAGGCCTTAAAGAATCATAAGGAAATGTTATGAATAACTTTATGCCAATAGTTTTAGATACTTAAATGAAATGCAAAAGTTCTTTGATAAATGTCTCAAAAGTTCCACAAGGAGGTATAAGAAATCTTAATAGTCCTGTCTCAAGAAGAAAATAAATTTATAATTAACAACAAAACTTCCCACGAAGAAAACTCCAAGTGTGAGAAGAGACTTTTCATTGGTGAGCTCTTCTTTCCTTAAGAAAGGGAAAAATATCCATTTTAGAAAAAAATCCATTATTCAGGACTATAATATAAAGGAATTGAATTTCTGCCAACAACTGAAATAAACAAGGAAACAAATTCTCCCCTAAACCTTCCAAAAGTGGATGCAGCCTTGCAGATAGTTTGATTTTACCCAATGAGACTTACTTGTTTAAAAGCTGTAAGATAATAAATCTGCACAATTCACTAATTTTGTGGTAACTTACTACAGTAGCAATAGAAAACAAATACAGACTAATTAATAGCAATGTGATTAAGTATCCTCCTATATGTTGCTTAGTCTGCTATTCAGAAATCAATAATTTCTCATATGGCTTAATATTCCCCCTTGAATAGGTGTGCAATGTGTATTATCATAGATCTTCAGATAGCTCAGGTAATTAATTATTTCATGGGAGGGCATGATCTAAGGTCAATAATGGATTGGAAACATTCTTCTCAGTCTCTGGAAATCCAAGGATAGCTGGATTACTTAAAACAGATCACAATAATGTTTGTAGAGTGATTTAATAAAGGCATGCCAACAGTCTATCTCCTAAGAAATTCCTATTTGATATCTTTGCCAGTCCAGTCAATTTCTCCTTATTCTCAAAATCAAGAGGAAAATAAAGAGATAAATATTCTGCAAATGCTATGCAAAATAAGCCTGAAGGAAGAGGATTGGGTTTGTGAAAATATCAGTGTCATAATTTGTTTTGCATTGTACACAACATGATTCTTATAATTTTAGTGACACTTAATATGGTTATTAACACTAGCATAAAACTTCCCCAGAAACCCCCAAGCAAACAACTTTGCAATGTTCCATTCTTCAAGCCAATTCCTCTTTAACTATTCCTGTGGAAAAGGGGAAATTGTTTTAAGTCCTTACCCTGAGTTGAGGATAAAAATAAATCTGCTGTTGCGCCAAAAGTCCCTGCAAAGTAGTTAAATATGACGAGCTTGGTGTAGGCACTGGTATGACTAGAAAACAGGAAACTTATCAGGTACGTGAAGGGAATGACAGACCAGCCAAACACCATGAAGATGAGCATTGTATCCAGAAAGTGGTAATTCGTGACCAATATTTTCAAGTCAGAGAACATGAACACCACCTGAGATACAGAATACAGAAATAAAGTCAAACTGAAGAAAACAATGCAATATAATACATGAGAACACAAGTCAATAAACTCAGAGAAGGATAAACCTTTCTTTGTTAGAATACAGAGCTATTTATGAATCAAATAATTTGATCTGTGATCATGGCTATGAGGTACTTCCACATTTTCCTTATCAGTGAGAAGAACCCCCTTTACTTTCTACTTGTTTTTATCTACTTGAGACAGTTTCATTTTGTTCTTGAACAAGATCAAAGTATATTCTTTCTGCCTCTTCACCTAACCCCCAAAAAGCTCACTCTCAATATTTCCAGAAATTATATTCCTAGCAAGAAAACTTTTGTTAAGGTTTTCATTCTGGCAGCTGTAAGCTGTGATGTTAAGGGACCTACTTTTCATAATTCTCAATTTTTAGATTCTGCCTCTTGACTCGACTGTATTCCTAATCTGTCTCTTCCTATCTCAGCCACTCAGTTGAGAGGCAAACAAGGAAGCCTCAAGTTATAAGGAACCTAATTAAGGAAAGAGAGAACCCACAGAATTATTAAGGAAAATAAGTTTCCAGAGGTCTGCATCGTGTAAGTTATTAATTGTGGTTTTGCCAAATATTCTAGGGTTAGCTATTTTGAACTATAAATGATCATGTAGCAGGATACTTGAGAAGTGAACATCAGTGTTATGTTGATAAAATCTACTATGTGATTGGTAGCAAGTTTTCAATGGTAATAGAAAAAGCAACAAAAAGGGAATATAACATTAGTGAAAATATTTGGGCATTATGGACATGACTACTTTGTTTCTATCAGAGCAGATGAGAAATAGGATGAATTCAATTGCTTGCACATGTTGTGGCATGTATGATAATTTCAGTACTTTTAAAGACTGAACAATATTCCATTGTATGTATATATCATATTTAGTTATCCATGTTTTCGTCAGGGAACACTTGAGTTGGTTCCACTAGTTGGCTATTGTGAATAATGTTGCTATGAACAATGATGTACAAATGTTTTCAAATTCTTGCTTCCATTTCTTTTGGAATTCCACTGTTAGTGGAAATGCAAACTCATAAGGTAATGCTGTTTATTTTCTTGAGGAAGTGCCAAGCTGTTTTCCACAGCAGCTTCACCATTTTAGATTCCAATTAGTGCACAGTGTTCCAGTTTCTCCACATCCTTCTTAACACTTGTCATTTTCTCTTTTTGATAGTAGTCATCTGAATAGGTATAAAGGAGTATCTTATTACTGTTTTTGGTTTGCATTCCCTTAAAGATTACTGATGTCAAGCATTTTTACATGCTCTTATTGGCCTTTTTGGAGAAATGTCTACTCAAGCTCTAGCTCATTTTTGAATTTGGTTTGTTGGAGTTATTGTTAATTTGGGGGAATGTCTTATATATTCTGGGTATTAATTCCTTAGCAGGTATAAAATGTTGAATATTTTCTTCCATATTGTGGACTGCCTTTTCATTCTGTTGACAATGCCCTTTGATTTATGTGTTTTCTTAGTTTTCATGAAGTCCAATTAATTTATCTTTTTCTTTCTTCTGCTTATGCTTTTGCTATCCCATCCAAGAAACCACTGCCAATCCAATGTTATAAAAATTTTCTTTAAAAAATCTTACAATATTAGCTCTTACATTTAGAACTTTATCCATTTTAACTTAAGTTTTGTATACAGTTTAAGATAAGGATCAAATTTCATTCTTTTATATGTGAATATGCAGTTTTCCCACCATAATTTGTTGAAAGGCTCTTCTGCACTCATTGAATAATCTTGGAACTCTTATCAGAAATCGTTTGATCATATACGAAAGAGTTTATTTCGGGGTTTTTTTCTGTCCCATTGGTTTATATACCAGTACCAGATTCTTTTGATTACAGTAGCTTTGTAGTAAGTTTTGAAATTAGGAAGAGTACTACAACTTTATTCTTCTTTTTCAAAATTTTTTTTTAGCTATTTAGGGTGATTTTCTCCTTTTATCACTAGATACTACCCTTCTTTATCTCTTTCAACACCTTCGAACATAAAGTCTGTTTTGTCTGATATTAGTATAGCTACTTCAGCTCCCTTTTGTTTACTATTTACATGGAATATCTTTTTCTACTTTTTCACTTTCAGCTTTTTCTTCCTTTTATTCATTAGATCTAAATGAGTCTTTCATAGACAACATTTTTGATTGGGCAGTTTAATCCATCTAAATTTAATTACAATAAGGGCTTACGTTTGTCATTTTGCTATTTTTTAAGTAACTCATTTTTGTTCCTCAGTTTCTCTGTTACTGTCTTCTTTTTTATTCAGTTTTCTTCTGTTGACCTGTTTTGAATCCCTTGTCTTTTACTTTTGTGTGTATTCTATAGCTATTTTCTTTGTATCATGAGTTACATATAACATACTAAAGTTATAATAATCCAATTTGAATTAATACCATCCTAACTTTAAAAACATATAAAAGTTCTACTACTATACAACTTCTTCCAACTCTTTGTTATTCATATTACAACTTACATTTTTATACATTGTAAACCACTAATATGGATTTGTAACTATTTTTATACGTTTGTCTTTTAAAACCTGTAGAAAAGTGGAGCGGCAAACAAAAATTTCATTCAGTGTTATGGATGAATGCTATGTCTCCCCACCTCATATTGCCAGCTTACATCTTGAAGCCCTAAGTCCCAATGTGATTGTATTTGGGATGTAATTAGATTTAGATGAGGTAATGAGTGTGAGGCTTCCATAATGGGATAGTGTCCTTAGAAGAAGAAGAAAGTTGGATGCATGAGACAAGTGCTCAGGTCTGGTGCACTGGGAAGACCCAGAGGGATGGGATGGAGAGGGAGGTGGGAGGGGGGACCGGGATGGGGAATACATGTAAATCCATGGCTAATTCATTTCAATGTATGACAAAAACCACTGCAATGTTGTAAAGTAATTAGCCTCCAACTAATAAAAATAAATGGAAAAAAAAAAAGAAGAAGAAGAAAGATGAGAGACTGCTCTCTCTCTCTCCCTCCCATGTATGGACGCAGTGAGAAGGTGGCCATCTGCAAGCCATGAAGGGAGTTCTCACTAGGAAACAAGTCAATCAGTACCTTGATCTTGGAGTTCCTAGTTGTCCTTCAGCTTTCATTTATCTGAAAATGTTTTAATTTCTTCCTTGTTTTAGAAAAACAGTTTGCTGGATACAGAATTCTTCAGTGGCAGTTTTTCTCTTTCAATATTTTCAAGAGGTCATCCCACTGCTTTCTGGCCTCTAAAATCTTTACTAAGAAATTGATTAGTAATATTATTTCTTAATATTACTCAGGATTATTTACACACAGGGAGTTACTTCTCACTTAGAATATCTTCTCCTTGTCTTTGAATTTCAGCAGTTTAATTATCATGTTTCTCAGTATAGGTCTTGTTTGGTTATTTCTTACATGCTATTTTTTTGGATTCTCGGGGTTTTAGATTTATGTCCTTCATCAAATTTGGGAAGTTTTCAGACATTATTTCTTTAAATAGTATCTTTTCACCTGTTCTTTCTCTCTTCTCCCTGGGACTCCCATAATGTGTAATTGATCCAGTTGATGGAACTCCACAATTCTCTGAGGCTTGTTTTACTTTTTGCCATTATTTTTTCCTCCTGTTCTTTCGACTTGGTAATTTCAGTTTTCTTAAAGCTTGCTAATTCTTTATCCTGCATGTTCAATCTCCTGTTGAAATCCTTCAGGGTTTTTCTCAACCAGTTATTACATATTTTAGCTCCAGAATTTGTCTGGTTTATTATTACAGTTTCTGTTTGTTATTCTTATTTTGCTCATATATCACTTTCCTAATTTTCTTTGGTTCTTTGTATTTTCCTTTAGCTCTTTGAGCATATTTAATACAGTTTTTAATGCTTATTATTTATTTGGCTCTGTTATGTCAAGCAGATCCCACAGCATGTGGGATCTTAGTTCCCCAACCAGGGATTGAACCTGTATCCCCTGGATTGCAAGGCAGACTCTTAATCACTGGACCACCAGGGAAATCCCAATAAATTTTTAAAAACTGAAATATAATTGATTTACAATGCTGTGTTAATTTCTGCTATACAGCAGGGTAATTCAGTTATTCATAAATATATGTACTTTTCAATATTCTTTTTATGGTTTATTACAAGATATTGAATATAGTTCCCTGTGCTATACAGTAGGACTTCGTTGTTTATCCATTCTACATATAATAGTCTGCATCTGCTAATTCCAAACTCCCTATCCATCCCTCCTTCATCCCTTTCCATCTGAGATCCAAGTTAGGCTAGGCAGAGACCAATTCTTTTAACATTCTCAAGACAGGTCAGAATGTTGTAAATAAAGTTTGTTCTACTTCCTTCACTTTGAGGGAGATAACTAGCAACTGGATTGCCATCTCCTATAGACCAAGATGATGCTGCAGGAGGAAGGGGCTGAGTCAAGGGCCAGTCAAAATGCAATAAAATTTCCTACTATTTTGAATGTGACTTTTCCTGATTTGGGCATTCTCCTAAAGAGCAACTGCTATAGGTCTAAGATTGTTTCTCAGAGGTTGTGCAAGGTTATTTTAAACAGTTAATTCTCACCAAACTTCCAATTCAGGAAGCTCTGAACACTCCAAACAGGGTAAATGCCAACCCCCCCCCCAGTATAGTAATAAGGATAATATAGTAATAAGGATAAAGATCTAAGTAAAAATGAGAAATCTTTTTAAAAATCAGTGGGGATAAAAGAAGATATATTACATTCCAAAGAGTAGTAGTAGTAAAAATACCAAAACTGACTTCTTAAAAACTGATGGAAGCAAGCCATGAGACACTGGAATATTATTAAAATATAGGAGGGGGAAATTCAGGAAAATATTCTTCAAAAGGTAAAGAAAATGAAATAATTTCCATGCAGATAAAATCTAAGCTTTTTTGTCACGATAACTTTCCTAAAGAAACTATCATAAGAAGTTCTTCAGGAAGAGAAAACTGATGTCATATAAAATTTCAGAATAAAAAGGCAGAGCAATAAAAAAAACTCTATGAATAAGCATGACTGTTTACTGCATTAAAAGTGATAATACCTTTTGGGTATGTAGAAATGAAAATGTCTTATCATAGTAATGCAAAAAGTCAGAGGGAGTCATTGAAATGATTAGGCTACAAGATCTTACCACTGTTAGGGAAGTAGTAAAAGCAATAGCTTGTAATTAACCGAAAGTATGTGTTAATTTTTAAGGCAGTCGCTAAAAGAAGCATTAATACAACTTAATAGAGAGCAGAAAAAAGGAAGAAAGAGGAAACAAAAATAGATTATTTAAATAGGAAAAAAATAAGATGATGCCATAAGCCCAAACTTCTTAGAATGCACCAAGCTAGATTGCTAGCCTGAAAAAAATAACACAAACTTTATATAAATACTTTAAATGTAAAGACCCAGAAAATTTGAATATAAAAAGATGGAAAAAAATATACCAAAAAAACAATGATCAAAGTAGCTATGCTATTGCCAAAAAAGTATAATTTAAGGCTAGGATATCAGTACATTGAAAAGGGGGAAATGACAGTGATAAAGGGGTCAACCCACCAGGAAAATACAAATCTAAATTTGTATGCACACATCAATATACCCATTCCACAAAGAAAATTACATGAAGCAAAATTTCAAACTATATCAAAATGTTACAGAAAATAAAAACAAGTAGGCAAATGAACTATGGTGTTGTAGAAGACTTTTGAGAATCTCTTGGAGATCCAACCAGTCAATCCTAAAGGAAATCAGTCCTAAATATTCATTGGAAGGACAATGTTGAGGCTGAAACTCCATCACTTTGGCCACCTGATGTGAAGAGCTGACTCATTTGAAAAGACCTTGATACTGGGAAAGATTGAGGGCAGGAGGAGAAGGGGACAACAGAGGATGAGATGGTTGGATGGCATCACTGACTCAATGCACATGAGTCTGAGTAAACTCCAGGAGTTGGTGATGGACAGGGAGGCCTGGCATGCTGCAGTCCATGGGGTCGCAAAGAGTCGGACACAACTGAATGGCTGAACTGAACTGACTGAAAATGTCAGTAACAGTAGTGAGACGAGCAGCTCAATGAGCAAAATTGACTACATAAAATAATGCCGTCAATAACAGCAGGAGACAAGGTCTTTTTATTGAAGTGTAGTTCATTTACAATATTATGTTAGTTTCAAATGTACAGCACAGTGGTTCAGTATTTTTGCAGATTGTACCCCATTACAGGTTATTACCATGCCTATAATTCCCTATGCTGTACAGTATATCCTTGTTGTTTATCTCATTTGTGAGTAGTAGTTTGTATCTGTTAAAATCTTAATTTTTCCTTCCCTTATTATCTCTCCCCTTTGGAAATCACAAGTATATTTTCTTATCAAATACACATAAAATATTTATAAAATTTTACCACATGCTGGATCATGAAATATGACTCAATATATTTCAAATGATTGAAAATATTAATATAATCTCCAAGAAAAGTGGTAGTAAGCTATGAATATATTTTCAAACTGCTTAGAAATCAAATCATACATTTCTAGAAAACACAGTTCAATGGTATTTTAGAAATTAGAAAATATTTGGAAATTAGTGACTTATAATATTATATTTTATCTGTGTGGTGTGTCTCTAGTGTTCTGAGAATTTTTTTAATATGTATGTTTTTTAGTTTTTGTGCTGTGTGTGTATGGTGTGGGGTGTGTGTTTTTGTCGCGTTGGGGGGGGGAATTGTTGGGGCTTGGGTCATTTTTTGCTTTGGTTCCCCCGTTTGTTTCTGTTGTTACCAAAATTACTTGTTGGCTTCAAAAGTTTGTTAGTTGTTTTTTGGCAACCCTTGGGGGGAGGTTGGCTTTGGGTTTTTTGGTTCCGTTGTTGCTTTTGTGGAGGGGAAAACATCAGGTTTTCCTCTCTACCCTGGAGCTCTCCATACCAACTTAAGCCTCTAATCCTTTCACTTTTTAACATGTAGTAGCCTAGCTCTTCCTCAGAACCAAAAGTTACAACATTCCAGCTCTAGAGCCAGTACATCTCTCTTAAAAGAAACAAGCAAGTTTGTTTTAACATTCACAGCAGTGCCTCATTGACCTTCTCATAGGATAGAAATATTGCTGTGAAGAAGACACCAGGTATAAAGAGAGAAAAGCAACAAGCATAAACAGACCAAAAATCCTCCTAATTTTTCTTTTAGTAATAAAAGTTTCAGTAGCTCTTCATTATCTATTCAACATTCAAATATTCAAAAACAGAAACATAACATTTAAACAGTTGATGGCATAAAATTTAAAAATCTCAAGGGAAACTGTAAAAATTGAGCATAAGGATCTTTTTTATAACAAATAATTACAACACATAATAAGATGGGAAAACACCAGGACCAGAAGGAAAATAATTTTAAAGTATTTGTTTTGTTCAATATGAGACTGGCCTTCTAGTGTGCATATTATATCCTTCAATAGTGGTAGAAGCTTTGGGCTAACTACATATGGGAGAGCAAGCACATACACCAGATCAAGAGACACCTTTATGTTTCAGCAGACAATAATATTTTATTAAAAAATAATAGAAAATAGAAAAATTTCACTATGAGATGCATTCCACAAAGTATTCTCTGACATAACGAGCCAAAGAACTTTTACCTTTCTTGAGAGATGTATATTTAACTTAATATTAGCCATATAAGACTTCTCTGGTGTTTAACAGAGAATGAACTCTTAAAATACTTGGTCTGACACTCACCAATAGTAAGCAGCAGGAAGTGAAGAAGATGAGAAAGTCCCACAGCAGAGCAGAGAGCCAGAAGTTAGCGGCATAAACCCCACTCAAAACTTGAATGTGCTTCGCCTTAGTGACTCTCTCATTTACTGTCAGGAGACAAAAGCCACTAACAAGAATACTCACACCAAAATACAAACTAAAGGCTAATTGTGATCCTGTCAATGCTCTACAAAAGAATGAATAAAGAGGACACATTGGTAAAGCAATAAAGTGGGAAACATTAATTTCTAACAATAACTTTAATTATTAACTTATTATAAATTTTATTTATTATCAGCAGCCATCTTATTATTTTAATTAACTTCTAAAGTTAACTTTTAATTAAATACAGGGTTGGAAAGGGGAGAAGGGATCTATTTAAAGCTTAAAGTTCAAGTTCATTGAAAAAAAGTATACATACCGATTTTCATGTCCACCAGAAGAATGTGTAGGCTGAGGTTTGTTGCTGATTGTAATGGAAGCATCAGGGCCAGAAAGTGACATAAAAATAATATTGTCTAACACAGCCAGAGATAATGGTGATGAATGGTATGCCTGATTGTTGAACCAAAATTTAACTATATTTTCACTTCCATTAACCTCAATGGAAAATGCAATTATGCATGAGTAAATGCATTCTTGACTATCCGCCAAATAGGCCATCAGATTGCCTGGAATGAGAACATAATACCGATCATGGGCTCAGCATGCAATACAGATCATTAACTATGTATTTTAGAGAGGGCTAACCAAATAATTTTACTTGCCTCATATTTTTTTTTCCCATTCCCACAATAGCTCTGACAAGCTTTGACTATTTAACTTAAGAATTTTATTCTTCAAAAAGTCTACAGAGAGTAAATACTGGAGGTGGTGGTGGTTTCATCGCTAAGTCATGTCCAACTCTTTTTGACCCCATGGATTATAGCCGGCCAGGCTCCTCTCTCCATGGGATTCTCCAGGCAAGAATCCTGGAGTGGGTTGCCATTTCCTTCTGCAATAAATGCTGGAGAGGGTATGGATAAAAGGGAACCCTCTTAGACTGTTGGTGGGAAAGGAGATTGATGTAGCCACTATGGAATATAGTAAGGAAGTTCTTTTAAAAATTAAAAATAGAGTTGCCATATGATCCAGCAATTCCACTTCTAGGCATATATTCAGAAAAGGTGAAAACTCTATTTTAAAAAGATAAATGCACCCCAGTGTTCAGAAAACTAATATCATGGCATCCAGTCCCATCACTTCATGGCAGATAGATGTGGAGACAGTGGCTGACTTTATTTTTCTGGGCTCCAAAATCACTGCAGATGGTGACTGCAGCCATGAAATTAAAAGACACTTACTCNAATAAGTGGATAAAGAATATTAATCCTTTATTATTCAGCCATAAAAAGAATGAAATAATGCCATTTACAGCAGCATGGATGGACCTAGTGATTATCATACTAAATGAAGTCAGACAAAAGTAAATATTATGATATCACTTATAGACAAAATCTAAAAAATGCTACAAATGATCTTGCAAAACAGAAACAGACACAGAGACCAAAAAAAAAAAACACCAACAACACAAAACAAAACAAAACTTAATGGTTACCAAAGAAGAAAAGGGGAGGAATAAACTAGGAGTATGTGATTAAGAGATACACACTATGAAATATTAAATGAACAAAAAACAAATATATGGAACAGAAATATATATCCACTATCATGCAATAACCTATAACAGAAAAGAATCACTTTGCTGTACCCCTGAACCTAACACAATATTGTAAATCAACTACATTTAATTAAAAAATAAAAATACATGGGAAAATCTTTATTCTGTTAACAATCCACATACACCTCACACATTTTAGCTAAATTTCACTGAGACAATGTATTTCACTCGGTATTAGTTCTCTCAAACTTCTTTTCCTCCTTCAAACTGTCAGTCCCCAAACTGATTTGTAAGGACTTTCACTTCTTTATTTTTTGCATTTTAAACTTTTTATTTTATATTGGAATGTATCCTATTAACAATGTTGTGACAATTTCAGGTGGATGACAAAGGGATTCAGCCATACATATACATGTATACATTCTCCCCCAAACTCCTTTCCCGTCCAGACTGCCATATAACAGTGAGCAGAATTCCCTGTGATCTACAGTAGGATGTTGCTGGTTTATCCATTTTAAATAGAGCAGAGTGTACATGTCAATCCTAAACTCCCTAACTATCTCTTCTCCCCATTCCTCCCCATGGAGGAATAAGTTCATTCTCTAAGTCTATGAGTCTGTTTCTGTTTTGTAAATAAATTCACTTATATCGTTTCTTTTTAGATTCTGCATGTAAAGGATGTTATACAATATTTCTCTTTCTCTGACTTCACTCAGTATGACAATCTCTAGATTCATCCACGTTGCTGCAAATGGAATTATTTCATACTTTTTAATGGTTGAGTAATATCCTGCTGTATATATCCACCACATCTTCTTTATCCATTCCTCTGCTGAAGCGATATTTAGGTTGCTTCCATATCTTGGCCATTGTAAATAGTGCTGCAATGAATATAGGGGTGCATGTATCATTTTAAAACATGTTTTTCTCTTAGTATATGCCCAAGAGTGGGATTGCAGGGTCAAATGGTAGCTCTACTTTTAGTGTTTTAAGGAACCTCTGTACGGTTCTCCATAGTGGCTGTTGTTGTTCAGTCACTCAGTTGTGTCCATCTCTTTGCAACCCCATGGATTGTAGCATGCCAGGCTTCTCTGTCCTTCACCATCTCCTGGAGCTTGCTCAAACTCATCTCCATTGAGTAGGTGATGCCATCCAACCATCTTATTCTCTGTCATCCCCTTCTCCTCCTGCCTTCAATCTTTCCCGGCATCAGGGTCTTTTTCAGTGAGTCAGTTCTTAGCATAAGGTGGCCAAAGTATTGGAACTTCAGCATGAGTCCTTTCAATAAATGTGGAGGGTTCATTTCCTTTATGATTGACTGGTTTGATATCCTTGCAGTCAAGAGACTCTCAAGAGTCTTCTCCAGCACCACAGTTCAAAACCATCAGTTCTTTGGTGCTCAGCCATTTTTATGGTTCAATTCTCATATCCATGCATGGCTACTGGAAAAATCATGGCTTTCACTATATGGATGTTTGTCCGCAAAGTGATGTCTCTGATTTTGAATATGCNCATCTCTTTAAGAATTTTCCATAGTTTGTTGTGATCCACAGAGTTGAAGGCTTAGTATAGTCAATGAAGCAGAAGTAAATGTTTTTCTAGAATTCTCTTGCTTTTTCTATGATCCAACAGATGTTGGCAATTTGATCTCTGGTTCTTCTGCCTTTTCTAAATCCAGCTTGTACATCTGGAAGTCCTTGGTTTGTGTACTGTTGAAGCCTAGATTGGAGAATTTTGAGCATGACCTTCCTAGCATGTGAAATATGTGCAATTGTGTGGTAGTTTGAACATTCTTTTGCATTGTCTTTCTGTGAGATTGGAGTGAAAACAGACTTTTCCAGTCCTATGTCCTCTTCTGAGTTTTCCAAATTTGCTAGTGTATTGAGTGCAATACTTTAACAGCATCATCTTTTAGAATTTGAAATAACTCAGCTGTCATTCCATCATGTCCACTAGCTTTGTTCATAGTGATGCTTCCTAAGATCCACTTGACTTCACACTCCAGAATGTTTGACCCTAGGCAAGCAATCACACCATCGTGGTTATCTGGGTCATTAAGATCTTCTTTTTGTACAGTTTTTCTGTGTATTCTTGCCACCTCTTCTTAATAACTTTGGCTTCTGTTATCTCCACACCATTTCTGTCCTTTATTGGCAGTACCAATTAACATTCCCACCAACCGTCTAGAAGGGTTCCCTTCTCTCTACACCCTCTCTAGCATTTATTGCTTGTGAATTTTTTGATGATGGCCATTTTGACTGGTGTGAGGTGATATCTCATGGCAGTTTTGATTTGCATTTCTCTAATAATTAGTGATGTTAAGGACCTTTTCATGTGCCTTTTGTCCATCTGTGTGTCTTTTTTGCAGGGACTTCTGCTTCTAACATTAGTGATTAAGAAAAACAAATCATGATTAAGAAAAATAAATCATTATTAAGAAAAACTAGAAAACCTGAATAATTTTGTGTTTATTTAAAAAATGTGGTTGAATGAATCAGAAAATTAGCAAAGCAACTAGTTTTGGAAATACAAAGACCTGAGAGAAAAGGAAAACTCACCTAGTCAAAAGTTTTATACTACTTCCTCCTTCTATACAGTTGTAGAAATAGATAGTCGAGAAGCATAGCAGAAAGTTGAGCAAAAGACTACAGTTAATAAGAACATACAGATGTTTCATGATGCTTAGAATAAAAAACAGAAGTTTCAAGCTTATCCAAGAAGTCACAGTATAAAAATCCAAGATAGAGAAGCTGATAGTAGTGAGCCTTATACTCAATCTCAGATCATGGGCCATATCAGACATGAAGCTTATTTTTTACGGTCTCCAAGCTAAGAATTATTTTTATATTTTAATTGATAAAAAATAATGTAAAAAAGATGAAGGTGGAGAAGAAGAAAGAAGAGAGAGAAGGAAAAAAGAAGAGGGATGTGGAGGGAAGGAAGAGGTGGAGATGAAGGGAGGACGACAAGGAGGAAGAAGAAGAAAGAGGAGAAGGAAGAAGGAGAGCACAGAGACTGTATGTGGACTATAAAGTCTAAAATATATACCATGTGGCTTTTGTACAGAACATGCTGGGTGGCTCTTGTTTTAGTAGCTGAAAAGAAAATGAGAAGCTTGCTTTATGCTGCTTCCACAAAAAATCATTTCTTGATTCCTAAGAGTAACAGGTGAAAGGTTAACAAACTGAAGATAAAAATGATCCTTAAAATGTTGAGGGAAATAAGTAGAGAATCAGGGAGAAAAAGTCTCATTCAGGGAGAAAAACTAGAATTCAAGGCTCACTAAATACTGGTGATCTGGGAAATACTCTCAGCCTTTCAACAGATATATTTGAGGAGTTATATGCCAAGAGTAAAGATAAATACAATAGATCAGGTCTTACAAGGCTAAACCAATATTATATCCCTTCAACCCTATTAAAGTCAGCTATCCTGAATATAACTGACTGAGTAAATAAATAAAGCCACTCAGAAGGATAATATTAGCTTAATCCTATATAGACTTTAGTATTTTAACATAATGTCCAGCATTCACTAAAAATCATCAGGTATCATAAATGTGATCAAGAGAAAAAATTAGTCAAAACACACCAACTATAAGGGTTAAAATAATCATAATTTGGAGCAGGACCTCTGCCCTAGGTTGGGCAAAGTTCCCTGACATGGAGAACAATGACCTGAAATGTCAATCAGTCAATTAGCAGAACCTGGAGGGCTTTAATTAGAAAGCAGGCTGATGGCTGTGATAAATGCCCTGACAATGAGGGAGGATATAAGCCTATAAAATAGTTCTATAAAAACAAGATGAGATTCAAGAACATCCCTTTTTGGGGACTGGTTCAAGATGGTGAAGTAGACACACGTGCACTCATCTCCTCCTGCAAGAGCACTGAAATTGCAACTAACTGTTGAACAACCATAGACAGGAATATGCTGGAACCCAACAACAGAATAAAGATACTTCACATCCAAAGACAAAGAAGCCACAACAAAATGGTAGGAGGAATGCAA